AAGAAGTTATGGTTAGGGTTAGGGTACGTAGAAATAGTCGGTAAATTGGCTTTTTTTGTAGCTGTTTTTTTAAGAGCTTCAGGTTAGCTCTTTTACTGATGAATGGTAACTCAGGCTAACGAGCTAATGGCACCACCCACATAGATACCGTACGGATGTAAAAGTGCTATTGATCTTCTCATCAGACTCTCTGCAAGAAAACAAATAGGTATAAATCACTAAATGTCAAACTCCTGCTTTAATGCAATTCAATATGGATTGCTCGTCATTACACTATAGCCTGCATCTGAATGTTTCTCCCTTCAATAGAGCTTCATCTTTTCCTTAATCAATATCAAACATCTCTTTATATCTGATGGTGATGCAAAAGGCAGATCCTAATTTCCCAAGTATCCTTCCCAGAGACTTCATTTTGGATGAACTCACACATTACTAGAAGATCAACCACTTTATTTACCAATTATGAATCAGGGCTGGTTTCCTTCCAGTGTGTTCTGATCTAAAGAACACTAATAAGCACTCCAGTAAAGGTCTCAGAGCATGCTTGCCATCTAGTACACGGTTCTGATATTTATCGACTTTTAAACACGAGTGATGCTAAGTTCATTGAGGCCCATGGGCGCGTAACAGACCTCCAGCTCCTCAGCGATGCATTCAAATCAGCCTGAGCGAGTTGGAAATCTGGAAATATGTTTGCAGAGTATCCTCACGCTTGTGGGGTTGTCTGTAAAATCTCAGCAGCACCTCCAGCGAGCCTCTGAAGTTCCCGGGATATGACTAATACATGAAGAATTCATTAAGCTCGCCAGATTCTTTTTGGACGCCTGTTTGCTGATTCGCTGTTTTGAAGTCTTTCTGCTTGGCACTGCGTCTCATTAACGGGCCGTTTCAACAGGCCTCAGTGCTGTGGGAGTGTGTTGCAGAGGGAGAGGGAGAAACACTGGAGAGAAAAGGAAATATATTGGTGTGGAAATCAATGGTTATCGTGTCAGGCAGATGCTTTCTCTGCGCGATCGCCGAGTCAGGGCTATTGGAAAGGCCTCATGGTGTTTGATTACAGCCCGTTTATATCCATGAAAGCTCTCCAGTCCTTCATGTTCCTCTGCATATATCCTCTCAATAAGGCAGGCATGCATTGTGTGTGGAAGTCACTGATAATACAGGAAATATTCATCTCCTTTTTGCACCAGGCAATAAGTGAATGATAGATAGACACCAGGGGACGGCAGATGGATCAGATGCTGCGGAGCTGAGATGAAGAGTTTCTCACGATAACACGCTCTGGTGCTGTTAGTGTAATTGATCTTTTAAGAAAGGCTAGAGTACACCGCAGTGTTTGCTTCATTAGGTATCTGCGGTGATGCTGTGTTTTGATTAGAATTCCCTATTCATTATCGCAAGTATTTTTTGCAAACAACTTCACAACTGAGTCTCATCAAGACCGCATTTTAATGAGACCATCTATAATATGTATTTGTTGTTGTTTTTGAGTGTCCTCCGATAACATCACTTGGAAAACAAACTCACTTCATTAACCTTCAATCACTCCCACACTAAATTACAAATTCAGAGTAAAAAACAATTTGTTTTCCCACAAAAACACACCTTTTGTTCTGATCAGAGTAAGACGAATGATGCTGGAATAATATGAATTTGCAGCAGCTGCCATTTATACATATTTAACACCAATGCAAACATCTGTTATGTTTTAAAATGACAGCAGCCAGCTTTACAGACACTCAAGTCGTTTTGGAAGTCAACAGCTCTGCGTGGGTCGTGCTGATCTTCTGTTATTCGTAGATCAATATGCTGAATTGTAAATGAAAAGATCCACGAACATGCAGTGTTGATTTTGGGCCTTTTTACAGCAAACACGCCAACAGGTCTGTAGTTACACACATAGTACTCAACACAAGAAAACCATAATGCTTTGCAACCTGTTGACGGTGGATAAGTGAAATATAATTACACTTTATATGAAGCTGAGTCCTCATTTACACTCCGGTGTTGGGAACGTATGTAGATAACTAGTCTGGATAATAACGTCTGATCACAGGCTTTGCTTTTACACCTGGCATTAATAATCATTCTCATTACCTCCAGCGCTTCAAAGAGTAATGGGGTCTCATTATGCCAATGCTCTCATGTGGCTTATTGGACCTTTGGAAAGAAGGGCTGTGTTTTAGCTTCTGGCTGAAATGGGAGTATTATTTATATACAATAAGTTCAAACAGTACGGATTATATTTCCACCTGCTTGAGATCTTCAGACAGACGGACGGAGTGTAGACATGTTTGCACGTCTTTGGAGTAAGATTGTTTCCTCGTTGCGAAGGAAGAAATTGAATTGAAAGGTATTTCCTCCTAGTCTGATATATGTATCGACTGACAATATCACTATTGAGTTTCCGTGCACAAGAGTAAGCAATAGAAAATGTCCTCACAATAAGGTAACATTATATACTGTATATATATAGCACATTTAAAATGCCATTTAAAAACAGACAACACTGATTTTAAAGTGAATTTTTAATGTGAACATTGGCGATTATTTGAGTAAGACTGTTGCATCGTTGAAGGAAACTCCTAACAATATCACTATTGAGTTTTCGTGCAGATTTAATAAAAAATGAAGTGTTTTGAACAAGCATAAGGAATTACAAATGTCCTCACAATAAGGCCATTTAAATACATTTAAAAACAGACAATATTGTGATTTTAAAGTCTACATTGTTCGAGGGTTTTCTCCACGTGAGCCTCGGACAAGAGTATTTGTTCTGCTGCTGCATGCTCACATGTCTGCAGCCAGGTGATGCACTTCCTGGAGTGTCATGGTTCTCCAATAAGCCGCTGCAAACATGCCTAACCCCGCCCCGAGACTGGTCTGAGATCAGTGTTAGTGGGACCGAGACGTCTGATTAACATGTTTGTGCCGATTGTAGAAATGTTTTTGAGTATGATTGTGGCATCGTTGCTAAGGAAGTCCTCCTAGTCTGATATATTTATCTACTAACAATATCACTTTTGAGTTTTCGTGCACATTTAATCAAAAATGAGGTGTTTTGAACAAGATTATGTAAATATAGCAGATTTAAAAACAGACATTATTGTGACTTCATAGTCTACATTTGTAAAGGATTTTCTCCGTGTGAGCTTCATATGAGCATTGGAATAACGTGTATTTCCTGCTGCTGCACGCTCACATGTCTGCAGCCAGTTGATGCACTTCCTGGAGTGTCATTGTTCTCCAATAAGCCGCTGCAAACATGCCTAACCCCGCCCTGAGACTGGTCTGAGATCAGTGTTAGTGGGAGTATAGGTGCAGGAGGAGCTGGAGAAATGGACCGAGACGTTTGATAAACATGTTTGTGCCGTAAAGCTTTCAGAGCCTAATGTCACCGCAAAGAAAAGCGACCGGCTCTCCTTTTACTGAATGACAGGATGACAGCTCTCATCTGATTGGACGAGAGCGACAGCACTCAACAAATACAGTCATCAATACCTCTGCTGTGTATCAATACTGCTGTTTGAAAGAGATGAAGGAGACACATTGGATTTGTTCGTACATTTTCTGCATGGCAAGCATAGAATTCATCATCATGGCTCAAAAATGTGTGAACAAATATTGGATTAGTTTCCTGGAACAATCAGTTATCAAATGATTTGTAGTAATGTGTGCGCACGTCTTATAGACCCCTTTCCTTAAAATCACAGTGATTAAGCCTTTGTAATAACGACTCAGCAGAAATTAGTCTGACAAAACAAACAATGGCCACAGCACTCAACAAATCCTCTGTATACAGCCAGCATCAATACCTCTGCTGTGTATCAGTACGGCTGTTTGTGAAAGATTAACAAGACATATTGAATTTATTCGTACATGTTCTGCATGACAATTGTTTTGTCTTCATAATGGCCCTAAAATGTGTGGATTTGTGTCCTGGCACACTTTTAAATCAGCTTTCTAATCAAGACAAGGTATTGTGACAGTTTACTTATTTAGGTTCTTTGGGGTGCCAGTCAGGTCTCTCTCCTGACGTTTGAGATTTGGCTAGTCAGTCAGTTTTAGTAAGTCTGCACAAAGGTGTAAACATCTCACTGCAAACACCCAACATTGAATGACATTAGAAAATATAAGAAAGGACACAACTCAAAATGATAATCACAAATAGCAAGTGTATTTTTGAATACCCCACAAACAATCAAACAATTAGTCTTCCCACAGTTCAATGTTAAATCCAAAACGTTCCACTTCGGGTTTTCTTCAAAATAAATAAAACAGTCAGTTTACCACGGGAGAATGTCAGTCATTTTTAGCAATCCAGTCGGTTTTGAAAATCCAGTCCTGGTTTTTAAGGTGGTTGGGAGTAGGGCTGCAACTAACGATTATTTTGGTATTCGACTAATCGGTCGATTATTTTTTCGATTAGTCGACTAATCTAACGATTATTTTAAGTTTGGAATTAATTACAGCGTCCATAAAGCTCTAGTGTGCTCTACTACGCTGTAAGCTTGGCGCTGTTTAGCAGCTCGTTGGTGGACACGCAGCCTCAACATAACTGAAATAGCGTTTGCTTAGCAAGCATTAACCATGAGACGTTCTGTTTTCCAACATGTAAGCTAACGTAAACATGACTATGGCTAACTTGCTCAAACTTACCCATGATCCAAAGTAGCAGTCCTCACGGTTCCAGGGTGCTTGCGTTTTAAATNAAAAGGAAATGGAGGCGCCAACCAACAGCGAATCCCTGGCTGGGTGGGCGTTACCGTGAGTGACTACCGGTCACATAAAAACCCCGGTTGTTACAATACGAAGCTATGGATTTGTCCCGAATATAAAGGAACTAGATATATTAAGACAACTCAGCAACCTTTTTCCAGGAGTCATTAAAGGTTATTCAAGATACTCCTCTGACAGAAATAGACATTGCCTAAATGTATTTCTGTATGAACACATTTGAAAGAGTCTCCTCTTATATAATGATTTGTTTTGTAATGCAGAAGAGCTCCAGTCTCAGCCTCAGTCCGACAAACTGGAGAAGAAGGCTCCTGAGAAGCTGCCGAAGCCTGTGATGGAGAAACCAGCCAAACCTGCTCTGGAGACACCCCCGAAGACCGCCGCCAAGCCAGCGTCCCCGGACAGTTTTACAACAAAGCAGGGGGGTGAGAGGACCAGCAAATCTCCCCCACCGCCTCCCCCCCCCAGGAAGACCTTCTCCCCCAGCTCCAGCTCAGGCATGACCACCACTCGCTCCGGAGAGGTGGTCTACACCAGCAGGAGGGATTCCGTCTCTGCACAGGTCAGTAGCCCCTCCCTGAGTTTCCTGTCACTCAGAAGCCTTTTAAACAGACTTTCTAACGCATCTGGTTTTAAGGCTGAGGTTTAGTTTTTACAAAAGTCGATCAAATCAAAACAGAAGAGGCAAATCAAATAATAAACAAACTTAGATCGTCTTTCTTTCTGTTGTGTTGCACGTTATATCTTTTAAAAACTGAGTCCCTACGGCGTCTTCCACACAGGTTGCCCATCTCTGTGTCTCCTAAAAGCTGGATTTGTTTGATTTAATAATGTTAATTGGATTAGCAAGTAAATACCACGTTCATGTTCGTGTGCTTAATATAGATGAATAACTACTCTAGGAGCCATTATGTTAACATGTATAATTTGATATATCATGTGTATATATATATACATATACTTGAACATTGTAATTCTTTGTTATAAGTGTTGGGGAATAATTCACCCTGCATGTCCTCTCCTCCTCCTTCACCCTCAGCTGACCGGCCTTGAGCAGCCGCTATCTCCCTTAAGGAGGGGCTGCCCTAGCAAGTTGTTGATGTCACCAGTTTGTGACCGGGCAGCTCTCGGTCAGAGATAGTTGTTGTTGTGGGACACCTGGAACACATCCTTCTCGGGGTGGAGATGACCCCGAGCCATAAGACACAACAACTGTGATTCAGTGTCCTCAGCTGTTTAGTCTATCTATTGAAGAATGTTGATTATTACACTCTGAACTAGTTCAACCCTGGAGCTACAGGAGGGCTCTTCAGAATTGATTGTGGCATCTCTACCGTGTGGTCAGACCGTGGCCCGTGACATGTCGTGTGAATTCTCCGGCCGAAGATCCAAATAAACCGTCAGTGTTTGACATCAGAGCTCCAGCTCTCCTCGTGTCTCTCTGAGTCCTGACTCCATCAGAGCTCCAGCTCTCCTCGTGTCTCTCTGAGTCCTGACTCCATCAGAGCTCCAGCTCTCCTCGTGTCTCTGAGTCCTGACTCCATCAGAGCTCCAGCTCTCCTCGTGTCTCTGAGTCCTGACTCCATCAGAGCTCCAGCTCTCCTCGTGTCTCT